TTTAAGAACTTCTGTGAGAGTGAAGTATAAACAGATGCTTTTTTTTTTTCTTTGTCCTTCAAAACAAGTCTAGTTGAAACATTTGTAATAACTGTGGTGCCAATCATCACTTCTGTAGTTGTATCATCTGTCTTTGCTTTCTGGTCTGTGTCTACCTTCTTGATAGGAGATACTTTGCTAGTCTCTGTAGTAAAATGGTTGGAAACATGCCCCAGGGGAAGGACACTTATTGGGATGCTGTCCTTGGTTTCAAATTCCTGATACTTAGCATGCCCAGCTTGAGCAATTACCTTATTGATGTTTTCTTCCCCTGTCCTGGATTCATCAAGAATCTCAATAACATATATGGATAACTAGTTCTTTGTGGAGCACAGTCCTTTTTTTAAAAAAGAAATGGCTTCCTGGCTCCAACTTTTCCCCAAAGGCCAAACATTTCAGAGCCAGTATTGGGAATCACCTAAACTGAGGAAGCACCATCCTGACATCACACCAGTCTACATTTTCTGAATTTCCTCGGTCAACCATGAACACATCTACACTTTTGTCATCTAACCGGGTGACTATGGCCCGATAATAGCCATTTTCTTTCCACTTGACACAGCAAAGGTCATCAGGTTCAGGTTTCAAAACTACACCATCCAGCTTTGTGGCGGTGGAATAGAAACTGCACATTCTCCTCATCAACTTGTTGAAGGTACCATTGTTTTTCCTTAACTTAATCCAAAACTCAGAAGGGCTTTTAACAAACTCTACCTGGGCATCATAAAAGGCATTCATCTTTAACCTGAGGCATTCATCTTTAACCTGATAGATCTTAAGGATGGGAGTGAAATCTCTTCATCCATTTCTTCAGAAGGAGACTGTGAAGAGTTGTTTCTGGCTCTTCTTCCTCATCCTCCTCATCTATTCCCTGGTTCTGAAGGAATTTGTCAGCCACAAAACCTGACTGTACACCAAATACACAGTTAAGATTAATTCCATCTTCTCCATATAGCGTGACATAATACACATAGACGAAGGGGAAAACATAGGGTAAGGGTTGGGTAATAGACAGGGATATTCACTCAGGCGCCTTCCTGGACACGCCCCTCGTGGGGTGTTTCAACTCTCTCTTGGCTAAGGTGTAGCCATATAAACCCCAGCCCTGGTCACCGCTAATGAAGTGATGAATCACCGTTATGCCATATGAGAGTGTCGTGGAACCGCAGATGGAGGCCCAATCAGACTCCGTAGCTGATGCCATGGAGCCGCAAAGACTGGACACAGCAGGCTGTGTTCAGTTACACTCTGACCACAATCACCCAATCATTCACTCGACAGACAGTAAAGAGACGAGGCGGCTTTGACAAAACGACAGGAGCCAGGAGCCACAAGGATCAGAACGGCGGCATGTCCTCTACGAGGTTCCGCTTACAGGAGCGACCTGCTTCATTCCTTTCTGGCCCACCAGGAACAGGTACAGGGGAACCGCGGAACGTATCACCCAGTCCCTGGGCGGAGCGTGTCCACTAGCACGTCTGCCTGGACCGTCGGGCCTCTGCAGGTTTGATTCAAATCACAGAAACAGAAATAAAAAGAACAAGACCCACAAAACAAAAAACAAAAATTTACCGGCCGGGAGATCAAACGCTTGACGAAAGGAAGAGGATTCGGGGGGACGATCCCAGACAGCCCCCCAAATGTTGTGCCTGATTTCATGTCCCCCACGAAAAATCATCAGAAGACCTTTATTGATCTCAAAAACACAGAATGCTGTAGGTCAACCATCCAAGCAGATGGAGACCCTGAAAGCAGGCACGCAGGCCTTTTTATAGGCAGTCGGGTGAGTATCCTTCAAGCTGATTGGCTCTTATTTAGGGGAGGTTAATCTGATTGGCTCTTATCTATGGGAGGTTGCTGACGTGAGAGGTTTTGACAGTTAGGGTGTATTCTAACGGTTACTGGTAGTGTCTAACAGTTAGTGGTGGTTAGGGTGGATGTGGGTATGGGGAAGGAATTTCTTTAGGGAGACTGACTCTTTTAAAAAGGGAATTTTTCTAGTTGGGGTCTTTTGGGTTCTTCAATTACAAGGCTGGCAGTTCAAATAAAACAGCAGCTCCTCTAGTCTGTTGAGATTGACTTAGCCTTGGTTCATTTTGAGTATAAACAAAATGGATTGAAAATAAACGTGCTTCATTATGTACTAGTATACCCATATGCCACATAAGGAAACTAAGGTACAGAAAATTATGAAACAGGTCTGATGTTACAATAATAATACTCTGGTTTACTAACAATTTTGCTCAGGATTTTTCTACCATTTCATTTTGAAAAGTTATTAATTAATTACAGGTGACTTCTGTTAGTAGCTATTAAAGAATCCAGCCGACAAACAAGTAAATAATTTTTGTCACTGAGGACTACAAAATTTACTCCTAATATATAGCCTACCTAGTGTGCAACAAGGTTTTGTCATAATTACTGTCATTTTAAACAACAAAAAAGTAAGAAATAGGAGGGGACTTCAAATAGTTGTGGAAAATGTAATTAAAAGGTAATGGAATTCTCCAAAACCTTTTGAAACCCCTTTGTATGTAGAAATGAAGCAAAAATACTCTTAAAAATACTTTTACCTTCCGTATTAAATTTAGTTCTTTGTTTCCTGGCAAGACAGCAAAAATGAATAGTTTTTTTACCATCTGGGAGTCCTGGTGTGGCGCTGTGGGTTAATGCGCCAGACTGCAAAGCCGATTGAACTGCAAGGTCGGCAGTTCAAGCTCACCAGCTACTCCTTGGAAACCATGTAAAATTAAAGGGTTGCTATGGGTCGGAATCGACTCGATGGCACTTGACAACAACAACAACAAACCAGGAGAGTGGAGGCCAGGGGAGCGCAGGGGAGCAGTTGAACAGAGAACTTTTAAATGTGAATCCTTACAGTAGCATCATGGAAAAATATGAGCTGCCCCAAAGAAATAATAAGAAAACCTATCAATCAAAATTCAGAGAAGGTATTACAGCTAAGTATAGGGCCATCAACTGGTTTGCCCAAGAGAGCAGTTTACATACTATAATCCTGGGTAAGTATTAACAACACTCTCTTCTACTCTCAAAAGAACCCAAGCATGGGTACCTGGTCCATATATGTTGCTTTGCAGTGCTCTTGTTTGACAGAGAAGGGCTTCATGAACAGTTTCTGCCAAATATCAAGAGGAACTAGATGGCGGCAATTTTGGAGACAAATTAATATGGAATTTGTGAACTTTATAAAATATCTCTTTATATTAAAAACCAATTAAATAACATAAATACACTCAGGGCCAGGACTCAAGCTGGAGGCGGTGAGAGGGCGGGATTAGAGTGGGAGGAACAGAAGCGGTAGTTACCGAGGATCGGTGACGCCAACAATGGGAAGAGGAAGAACAGCTGGTTCTGGTGGATTTGTCAGCAATTATTGATTCAGACTTTCTCTCAAAATGTAAAAACAAGTATAAGATTTTGGGCACTGACACTGTGAGGCCTATTATGCAAGTGGACAACTAAGTCTTTGCTGGGGAATAAGAAGAGTCTTGGGACCTACCTGTGTTATGTTTGAGGAAGGTGTGGAGGAACAGGTGGATGTAGAAGGCAACACTAAAATAGTTGTGCTGTGGGTTAATGTGTTGGACTACAAAGTTGGTCTGAACTGCAAGACTGAAGGTTTCAGCTCCTCAGAAACCCTATACAGGGTTGCCATGGGTCTGAACCGATTTGACGGCACTTAACAACAAGATACAAATGCCATACAATGAAGACGCTCAGCCTGATAAGAACTCTTCTGACAGAAAAGAAGGAAGGAGAAGAAACCACAGGTGGTGTGGAGTGGCTGCAAATCAATGATACTGGTTCCCCTAGTAGACCCAACATGGTTTGTAGCTTTCTAAATGATAATAAAGACGAAGAAGTTGTAGCTCTGGCCCCAGATAAACCTTTGGAATTGAAGGAGCAAGAGATTCAATTGAAAGATAACTCAGTCCTGAATTATGAACAAGGGACATCACTTTACTTGGAAATTGAGGACTCGATCCTCTTATTTAGATTTCTTCTTTTGATACAGAAGGATTTGTTTTTACGGAAATTCAAGATGCTGCCTTAGATGAAATGTCTCTCATATCTAATCATGAATTTATTTAGTTTTTAAGTCAAATTGGCTCTGTAGTTTCTAGTTCATCTATTTTGATAATTCTTATCTTATAATAAGTTATAGTATAACTTATTATAGCAATTATGTAATATTAAGACCAGAATGAATTGAATTTAAAAAGCCCAAACAAAAAGCAGTTTAAATGATCAGAGATCCTTCTCTAACGAATCCTTTACATTTGGATGTTTCCCTGAACTAAGTGGGTCAATGTTCAACTATTAAAGGCATCATAAAGTGCCCTAATACGTGTGTTGGTAGCTGCCATGGAGTCAGCTTCTGACACACAGTGTGACTGTTGGGAGACCAGAGTAGCAGCAACTTGAGCCTAAAGCAAACCTGATGCTACTGGGCTGCCAAGCTACGTTTACTCTGTATTCCACACTGTTCAGTGAGCGTGGTGCCAGATCGAGTCCAACAAAGTGTATTGTGTCCTCTGAGTGTGAATGTCATTCCAAACTGGTAACTCCTGCTGCTGTTCATACAGAGAGAGCATGGTAACTGCACCCCTGGCAACCTTTCACATGGGAGAAAAATAAACCTCTCTTGTTGATGTGACTCTTTTTCATGTTTTTACAATATATCGATTGGGATGACATTTGAATATAAAATACAGAAAAGGATAAAGAGGTACAGTGGAAGATTCTTGAAATTTGTAATTTTAAAAAAGCAGCTAATCTACACTAATATATAGCGCTACCGTATGTTGGACAGAAAAATAAAAGTCTTAAATTCTAAAACGACCATGGTATTAGCTGCCTTTCTGTTAATAAGAATAAACATTTGATATTTAGTAAAATAAAAGTCTTATTTTAAAAAATAAAAAAATAGATAAACTCACACTTAGAATGGAAAGCAATTCTTCAACACTGCATTCTGATTTCAAACGTTCCTTGAACATTTTAACGGTTTGGTGCCTCAAATAATAATAGGAGGCAATTCTGCTATTTGTCAGAGGTTCGATGCTCCTATGATCCTATTTCAAAAGAAAGATAATGTGACATTAAGAATACATATGATGACAATAAACCACATAAATTAATAACTATCCATACCATAGGTTGCTATTCCAACAATATGATTAGTGATTTTGGTTATCACTAGAAGCAAAACCCTACGCAAAAAAGCTGGGCAATCTTTACAATTGGAATATGTAAGCTGAGTCTTACCTCTCCAATTCGGATACAATAGGAATATTCCAATTCAACCAAAGACTTCTCAACCAGATTAGACAGAAACTTGTTCACAGAATCATGGCTCACATCATCCAAGTTGTAGTAGCTAGAAAAAAACAAGTTTATTATTTGCTTTAAAATAAAACTATCACCTCAGTTTCATATTATTTTTTTCAGTATTTCAAAAACATTTACAGCAAGTCTGGTGTGACACTGTAGGATAAGCACTGGACTACTACTATCCACAAGGTTGATGGTTAAAACCCACCAGCTGCTGCTCCATAATGCTATGCAGGGTCACTATGAGACTAAGCAGACATCACTTAACAACAGCTAACAGCAGACCAAAGTAAAGCAACTGCAATTGCCATTCTCATTTTATGTATTAAAAGTCCCATGGTGCTGTAGAGTTGGCTCCAGATCACAGTGACCCCATGGGTGACAGTACAAAACACTTTCCAGTTCAGTGCCCTACTCAGAAATGTTTGTTATGTTTGAGCCCATTGTTGCCGCCACTGTATCCAGACATCCTGTTCCTCTTTTTCACTGATCCTTTTCCAGGGACTGTTCCCACTGACGTGTCTAAAGCATGTGAGACAAAGTCCTTCCATTCTCTCTTCTAGCTCGTTCTGGCTGTACTTCTTCCAAGATAGGTTTGCATGTTCTTCTGGCAGACCATGTTATTTTCAATATTATTCACCAACACCTTAATTCAAATGTATCAATTCCTCTCCAGTCCTCCTTATTTATTGTCCAGCTTTTACAAGCAAATGGGGATGGCTGAAAAAATGTCTTGAGTTAGGCACACCTTAGTCCTCAAAATGGTATCTTTGTTTTTTCCCACTTTAAACAGGGCTTTTGTGGCAGATTTACCCAATCCAACAAGTCCTTTAATTTCTTGAATGCTGTTTCTATTAGTGCTGATTGTGGACCCAAGTAAAATGAAATCCTTCATAATTTCAATCTTTTTCCCATTTACCATTATGTTGTTTATTGGTTCAATTGTGAAGATTTGTGTTTACTCTATATTAAACTGTAATCCATACTGAAGGCTGTATCTTTGATCATCATCCATAAGCGTTTTAAGTTCTTTTCATTGATAGAAAGTGAACTTGTGTCATCTATATATTGCAGATTATTAATGAGCCTTCCTCTAATCTTGATGCTACTGTCTTCTTCCTATGGTCCGGCTTCTTGATTATTTGTTCAGTATATGGATCGCTGCAACCATTTCTGAATTATCTTCAACAAAATTTACTTGTGTGTGATACTAATGACATTATTAGATAATTTCTGCATTCTGTTAGGTTACCTGTCTTTGGAATGGGCACAAACATGTCAGTTGGCCTACAAATTTCTTGGCATAAATTAGACTAGTGAGTGATTTGAACATTACATCTGTTTGTTAAAACATTTCAACTGGCATTCTGTCAATTCCTGGAGTCTTGTTTCTCATTAATGCCTTCAGTTCAATTTGGACTTCTTCCTTTAGTATCATCGTTTCCTTTTTAGGGGCAGGTGGGTAGGAATAAGGAGTGAGGGTTAGGATTAGGACTATGGATATGTCGAGGCTAGGTTTAGAACTTTTAAAATTAGGTTTAGTTAGGGTTATGGTTAGGACAAGGATTCGTGTTAGGGGTAAGGATTGGGCTAGGACTAGAGTTAGGAATATGGCTTGGTGTAGTTTTTAGGTTACTGTTAGGCTTATTTTTTCTAGAAATCTATTTTATTTCCTCTTTACTTGGAAGTTCTGCAATTACATTATTCCCTCTTTTTGCTTTATAATATTTTTGGTTATTGTTGCAACTGTATCTCTGGTTCTCTATTTTCAGTCTTAAGAGGTTTATTTTACTTTTAATAACCTCAAAATCTGGGTTGAGTCCAGGTGATATTGTCATGTATGTTACTTTCAGTTCGTTGTCTGTTGTTTTTCTTTGTCCAAAGAACTGTGTTTAATATTGTATAAACTAGACTGGTCTTTACAAATTCTTTTAATGTCTGTTTATCATACAATGATCTAACTTCATTGTTACAGCTGTTGGACAATTTTGCTGGATCTATGATTCTTGGTTGGAAATTTTTTTCTTTCAGAGTTTTATATATGTAGTTCCATTGTCTTCTTGCCTGCATGGTTTCTGTTGAGAAATCAGAGCTTTGTCTTATTAGTTTTTTTTTTTTTTTCTTTTAAGGTAACTTTTTGTTTGTCCTGAGCTGCTCTCAGGATTCTTTGCTTGTCTTTAGTTTGGAAAAGTTTTTTTACATTGTGGGTGTTTTTCGTTTGGGATCTACCTTGTTTGGAGTTGCTCCTTGAATGGCTAGCTTCTTGTCTTTCATGATGTTAGGAAAATTTTCTTCCAACAATTCTTGCACAATATTCTCTACTTTTTTATTTTTTGTCTTTTCCTTATCTGGAATTCCAATCACACATAAGTTATTCCTCTTGATAGCGTCCCACTTATTTTTTCTTTGAACTTTTTGTTCTTATTTTATGATTGTTCCTCTAGCAGTTAAATATTTAAAGATTTTTCATCAAGTTCAGTAATTTAGCTTTCCACTGATTCATTTATACTTCTTTGCCCTTTCAGTGTATTATCTATTTCTGAAATCTCACTGTTAATCTTCTGGCTTTCTAATTGCTATTTTTATATGCTTCCAAATTCATTCACTTATTTTGTCAATTTGTTTCCTGAAATCTCTCATTTTTTCCCCTGCTTTCCTTGATAGCATTTACAGGTTTCTTGATCATGCTCTCAAATCTGCAGAAGCTGTGTAATAAGCATTCTTTTAAATTCCTTATCAGGTAGATCCAATACCGTTTCTGGTGTTATATTTTTTGACTGCATTTTGTTCACTTGTTTGAGGCACTCTGTCTTGTTTCTTTATGTAAACTGAAATTGCTTTCTTGGAGAAATTGTGCTATCATATTTATATTTAATAGATGACAGTATATTAATGTATTCTCAGTTACTCATTAGCTGTTTCCTAGTGGATGTCTATCATCGGGTTCTTGGCTATATGCTACCTCTTGAAAAGGTTGAACATCAACCAAGACTTTTTATTACAGTAACTGTGTATTCCATCTTCTTTTGATACTTCTTTCATTATTCAATATTGTACCCACAGACTCTTTCAGTACACAACATGAGGATATGATTTTTTGCTTCAATTCTTTCAGTTTGAGAAATGATGAGCATGTTTTTCCCTTTTGGCTTTCTAACTCCAGGTCTTTGCATATTCCATTATAATCTCTTGCTCTGTCTTCTTGAACAGTCCTTTGAAATTTTCCATTCAGCTCTTTTACTCCCATTTTGTCCATTCACTTTATATTCAAAAAGTTAAGTTTCAGTTTCTTCTTATTTCCACTTTGAGCTTTTCTTTATTACTTGTCTTTTTAATGGCTGTTTGCTTTCTTCAGCATAATGTTTTTGATGTCACCCCACAATTCCTCTGATCTTTGGTCATTAATGTTCAATGACTAAAACTGTTCTTGAGATGGTCTCTAAATTCACATAAGATATACTGAAGGTGATATTTTGGCTTTGGTAGACTTCTTTTAATTTTCTTCAATTTCAACCGGAACTTTTATATGAACAATTCATGCTCTGCTCCACAGTCAGTCCCTGATCATGATTTGGATGATGACACTGAACTTCTCCATGGTCTCTTCCCATACCTGATTTCTGTGTATTTGATTTTGTGAAGTCCACATGCATAGTCACCATTTATGCTGTTGAAAAAGGTATTTGCAATGCAGAAGTGTTAAAGAATTGTGTCAAGCAGTCTCTTACATAATTTCTATTACCAAGGCCACAGTTTCCAACTATTCAAACCCTATTCTTTGCTTCTAATTTTCACATTCCAATCATTAATAATTATCGCTGCATCTTGACTGCATGTTTGATCAATTTCCAATGGAAAAATTTGATAGAATTTTTCAGTTTCTGCATCATTGGCTTTGGTGGTTAGTGAGTAAATGTGAATAATAGTTGTATTAACTAATCATCCTATTGTTGTTGTTGTCAGGTGCCATCGAGTCGGAACCGACTCATAGCGACCCCATGCACAACAGAACCAAACAATGTCTGATCCTGGGCCAACCCCACCACCGCTGCCACACTTGATGCCATCAATGATGCCACCTGGCTGATCCATCTTGTTGGGGGTCTTCCTCTATTTCTCTGACCCTCCATCTTACCCAGCATGACATCCTTCTCCAGCGACTGTTCTCTCCTGACGATATGTCCAAAGTATGAGAGACGAAGCTTAGCCATCCTGGCCTCCAAGTAGCACTCTGGCTGTACTTCTTCCAAAATAGATCTAATGGTTCATTTGGCAGTCCATGGCACTTTTAGTATTCTCCTGCAACACCACAACTCAAAGGCATCAATTCTTCTATGATCTTCCTTATTCACTGTCCAGCTTTCGCATCCATATGAGGTTATTGAAAATACCACGGCTTGGGTCAGGCGTACCTTAGTCCTCAAGCTGACATCTCTGCTGTTCAACACTTTAAAAAGTTCCTGTGCAGCAGATTTGCCCAATGCAATAAATATGTCGTCTGATCTTTTGACAGCTGTTTCCACGAGTGTTGATAGTTGATCCAAAAAAATGAAGTCCTTGACAACTTCAATCTTTTCTCCATTGATAAGAATGTTGTTTATTGGTCCAGTGGTGAGGATTTTTGTTTTTCTGACATTGAGATGCAACCCATACCAATGGCTGTGTTCTTTGATCTTCATCAGTATAAGCCTACAGATATCACCCTGTCACAGACAGAACTGTTCTTCAAGATAGATCATTTCTCTTGAATATGTCATTCCTGGCATAGTAACCATATAAGTTCATTTTAGCTCACAAATGTCAAGGGCATTGATCTTTACGCATTCCACTTTATTTATTTTTTTAAGATTTTATTATGAATTGAGTGATAGTTTACGTGGAAGAACATCAGTTTTACACTCATTGTTTCATTGCAATGATAACAATTGACTCCATTTGCTTCTATTACCTCTGGGGATTTTTGTTGTTGTTCTGCATATTTTGGGGGGGGGGGTTTACACAAAAAAACTCAACACTATATAATAATTTAAACAACCAAAGGGCACA